AAAAAAAAAAGAAAAAAAAAAAGAGAGTGCATGCGCTAGCCACTGGGCCACCATCTGGGAGGCAGTAGCAATTACTCTTGATTTAATTGGTAAATAGTTTTCACCTGAGGTTGATAACTATCAGTGAATCCCAGTGTTGCTTTTGTCTGTTAAGAGACATAATTTTTCAAGTTTTAACTGAACTAATGAGAAGTAGATATGAAAAATATCCATGCATATAAATTACATATTTACATAAATACATGCATTTTATGAAAATTATAGGGTGACAAGCCATTGATGAAAGTAAATTGTTTATAAAATGTGATACTAAGTAAACATTTTATATTATTAAATTGATAAATGATCTGTGTATTTTTAATAACTTCAAATATAGAAAACACTAGTCTCTGAATTTACTGATTGATCATAGTTATTAGACTTGTATGGCACATATCGATGACATTTTCCTCAGAATGTCTTATTATTTCCTTTATTGAGTATGCTGGACTTATATGTTAGAGTTGAAATAAGGCCATACCCACTTTGGTTTCGCTCTGTATTTTACATTACTCTGTCTTGGGATATGAATCCCAACCAGACAGTAGGAGATGGGGTTTATGAAAGGAATGTTTGACAGGTATTGAAATAATAAATAGACTAATCTATTAATAAATATATAAATTGACCTCAGATTCCTAGACTGAGTAAAAGAGTAATTTTTTTTTGCAGGAAAAATTCTAAGTACTTGGAAAAACAGTGTATTTTGTCTTATTTACATGCTATCTATAAATCTGTTGTCTAATACAAACACATTTAGATGGAAGGCTTGGTTCATATATGTTGATGACACTGACAGAACATATGATTATTTGGTTAATTTTGTGTATATTTTAAATGCATGACACAGTGAACAATAGCAAACATTCCATTTTGCAGGTGTGTGGTTACCGTCTAAGACTTCATTTTGATGGTTATTTAAGCTGCTACGGTTTTTGGACCAATGCTGGTTCCCCTGACATTCATCCAGTAGGGTGGTGTGAAAAGACCAAACATGAATTGCACATCCCTAAGGGTAAGCCAGGATGGAAAGAAAGTCAGTTATTTCAGTTTTATTTTAACAACATTTCATGAAATAATAACAAGAGAGTCTGGTGTGAATTGATTTCCAAAATGAAAGTTTGATCCACAAAAAGCAGTAAGTCTACAAGGATACCATTCTTAGAAATAAATGTCTTTAAAAGAAAAGCATCAATAACTGCTTAAGTCAGATACTCTGATAAGGCACTTAGTGAAGAAATAAAATCTTATGAGAGCATTCTTATTTTACACAAAATTTGTTAAACCTTATAAGGAGTGAATAAAATGATGTTTATGAGTAAATCATGATTGAAATGTAATATCTCAATTAGTGCTATGGTACAGTGAGGAAACTTGATTGACTTTCATTTGTTAAAAACAGAAATCATGGAGAACAGGGAATTATGAAAGAGGAAACAATTTCACTGTTTTCTTTTGATGGGAAATAAAAATCTCATCTTTGTCTTTTGTTATGTGCTACAGGACTGACAAATGTGACTGAAGCCTTCTTTATTTGCTGTGTCCCAGGGAGGCGAGGATTTGACCAGTTGCGATGTCAGTAGGCCCATTTCTTTGCACAGCAAACTTCTGTATAAGGTCTCCTGTTTGGATCTTAGACTAGTCCATGACTGTGGAAACTTGTGGAGTCAGCATATAGTCATTTTATCCTTAGTAACCAATTCAGGGTATCCTTTGGGATATGTCCCTGAGACTAATGGCAGAGTCCCTTAAGAATGCTGGATTTCATGGAAGCTGGTAACAGGCCACAGGTCCATTCATTCAGTAGGTATTTATGGAACCCTTACTCTTTGCAGGCACTGGGGATGTAGCACTGAATAAAATAAACTGTCTTGTCTTTATGGGGCTTTCATTCTAGAGGGGGGAAGAATAATAAAGATAAAGGTACAATGTCAGGCAGTGACAGGTTGGGAGGAACGAGAGTGTCACAGGGACACTTTCTGACTTAGCATGGTGAAGAAAGGCCTGAGAAGGTGACATCTGACAGATGTGGGTGAATGAGAGAGAAAACAATGTGGCTACCTGGGTTAAGAGTGCTTGTCAGAGAGAAAAGCAAGAGTAAATATCTCAGGGCCAGAGTGTGCTTGGTGCAGTTGAGGAATCAGGAGGAGATTATGTGGCTGGAGCACAGAAGCAAGAGCAAGAAGTTAGGGGATAAAGTTGGAGATATAACCATGGCCTCGAGGGCTGTGCAAGAGTTTGTCTTTTATTCTAAGTGTAACACTCAATCAGAAAATATTTATTGAGTCCATCTTATTTGAGCCAGCAGCCTCTGAGCCACTTTAGGGCACATGGATGGGAGATAAGGCATTTTTTTTAATGGGAAGCCTAGAAAGATATGGTTCAGAAAGCTGGAGCTGCCAAATAGTCTTTGGATTGTGAAGGTGTTTCTGTAATTTACAAGTGTCTGGCACTCTGTATTGTTGCACCATCAGAACTTCTGATGGTCTCGGTTACATGGCTTCTTCAGGAGTGATGGCGGACTCAGGAACTTTTGTCTTCTTCCTTTGCCCATTTTGAAATGTCTTAATGAGAGACCAGACACCCATCAAGCCACCAGGGCACCGATTTCATACCTTAATGTATTTAAACAATTTGTAGGGAATGACATGTGTGATGGAAAACCAAACTCAACAGTTTTGAGTTGCATACATTAAAAAACATTGAAAGAGTCTAGAGATTTTAATTAAAGTTTTTTTGTGGTCTGCTAAAGGACATTGAATGTATGGCAGAAGACTGAATAAGAATTGTATATTTAATATGCACATGGTTACATCCTGTGGGTATCTTGAGTAATCCATACTTTTTCAGGTTATAGAAAAGATAAATTTGTTTGGATGGATTCTTTGAAGGCCTGCAAATTGCAAAATGCTCCCAAGAAACTATTCAGAAACAAAAGTTCTGTAGGTATTTACTGCATTAGCATAAATTTGATTTTTCCTTGAGCTTAAACTTTAAAATATTCACTATATATTCTCTTGTATTTAAATCTTTTGAGAATTCTTAGCTTCCTATTGACTTTTCGCACTTGTCAGTTTCCTATGGGCATACCTGCTTTCCTCCCTTAAAACGTATAATTAAATACTACTTCAATTAGATGGTGAGAGTTAAACACTTTATATTTAAAGTCTGCTAAAATTTCAAATGCTTTCAGAAATCTTTTTTCTCTTTGTGCTTCCAGTGAGGTAGTTGTTTGAACTTAGTTTTGGTGTGTTGAGACCAGTAGATACCCCAGGTAGACTTTGAATGTAACCAGCCTAGTTGGATTTATGTGTGATGAGAATGAGGGTGACACATCATACAGACTCAAGAGGTGCCTGAGGATTTGGGTAGAGGACACTTATGTCATCTGTGTCCCCAGCAACCTCACAAGTCCTCAGGAGAGACAGAGCATAAGTCCCATTCCCGGCTTCTTCTGAGCCCTGCTCTGGGCCCAGCAGTGCGGCTACACGTCAGAAAAAGGGATGGGGAAGCCTAGGGTCAGAGGTCAGCCCTGCCCTCTGTGGGCTGTGTCCCTGTGGAGGACACTCACCCAACTTCTCCAAACTTCAATGTCATCCTCTTGAAATCAATGTTATACAACTTCTCGATGTGGTTCATGGAATTGCATCAAGGAAAGAAATGTGAAATTGCTTTCTAAAATGTAATGTGCTAAAGGAAAACAAACATCAGGGTTCAGTATTAATAGTAAAGAAGTCAAGAAAAGAACCCTCGTCTAGTCCCCAGATAGTGCATGCATACTTCCTAAATCCCAAGACTGGCTCATTACAACTTTGCAAAAGTGCGGTTTTGTCATTGTAATATAATTGTAAATCATAGTCTTTAGTATTTTTTAATACGGAAAAATACATGCAGGTACTAAAAAAAAAGCATTTGATTTTTTTTCAACTATAATTTTATTTGTGAATTAGTGCATGTGTTCCTTAAATATTATGAAAGCCACTCTTTTCTGATCTAATCAAAGTAAATGACAAATTTGCTGCTAAAGACCATATCATATCTTTGTTACTTTTCTACATAGTGGTGTATGGAAACTATTCAAAGCCTATGGGGAGCAGAGGAAATTATTTGATACTACTGTACTTAATCAATATTTTTAAATTAAAACAAATTACTCTAAGAAGTGAAGAGTTTGGAAAATGACAATGATAAGGAGATAAGAACCTACCTGGACAAAGAAAGAGAAAAGTACAAGGTCAAAGCTAATTTCCTGGGTCTTTGTTCTAAATGTAAACTTCCTAACAGTTTATTGGAATATTTTTAATAGCATTTGCTGGCTCCATTCAAGGAGGGTAAGTGTTGATACCCTAATAGACTTTTCTGATGCTAAACATCATAGCAGTTTCGACAGTGGCTCAGTCTTGTTTGGTGACCTGTTTCTTTTTGTGCCTCTTCCTTCCGGTGCTGTGTTAGAATGGGCCAATACCTAAAGAATTTCAGGTTAGAATAAAGTTGCAGGCGGTCGACAGGAAGAACCCTTCCTTGGTGTGTGTGGCAACCATAGCAGATATTGTTGAAGATCGCTTACTAGTGCATTTTGACAATTTGGGATGATAATTATGATTATTGGTGAGACATCAATGTGCATTTTATTTTCATGTGTTCATGTCTGGTGCTAAGAATTTCTTTTCATTCAAGTACTGGCCCTGTTCTTACTGGTCTTAAAGTTATGAATATCAGGAATTTAGTGGATGACTTTTCACTACCTTCTCTTTCATGTGAATTGTTGAATGAAAGAGCCTAAGAAACTTTCTCTTCATTCCATGAGAGGTTACCTAGTGAGGTCTCATCTGAAATAATATGGCCAGTTCAGGGCACTTCACTATATTTCGTCTAGTGTGTAAAAGAAGCATTTTTGTGATGAGGAAGTTAAAAACTTGCAGTGTTTTTTTCCTGAAAAATGTTGAACTCACCCTGTCATATATTTAAAAGGAAAGATTCAGGGAGAATGCAGTGAAATATTTGAAAGCCTGTGGGGAGCAGAGAAAATGTATGCTACAATGCCATTAAACTAAAATTGCATGAGTTAAAAGGGTTTTCTGGGCAAAAACCTGAAATATGGAAGGGGACATGGCAAAAATAATTCTTGTAGCGTTTCTTCACAGTAGGTCCTGAATAACCAACAAGCTCTTGCCTGAGGCTGTGGTTCTTCATGTGTATGAAGGGGACCCTGTTTTCTTCTTTGAACTGAGAAGCAGAGCATAGATCAATTGTTATATGTGTCTTATGTAAAATAGTCTGGGTTCTTTGAAAAGGAGAGGGAAGAAATGTGTCATCCTATGAAGTTTGATAGGGCTGTCCTATTAAAATTTGGTCTGGCCTGTTAATATTTTTCCTTGCTGCTAGCAAGAAGAGGTAGGAGAGGTTTATTAAAATGTTCACTCTTTGGAGATATCACTGGCAGTTCAGGTCCTAGTCAAATACTTTTTTTCATACTTATAAATTTCAAGAAGTTTATATAGAAGAAAATAGTAACTCAGCTTGTGAAACATAGTACTCAAAATTAGTTCTAATTCCCTTTAGCTATAAAATAATATTTTAGCTCTGAAGTAATGTTTTTCATGGTATCTCTTAGTATCAAGAATGTTCATTACTCTTGGATTCTTTCCCTGGCATCGAGTAATATGGGATCTAAAAATAGAGTCCCGTTTTTGCAGGTGTGATGTAAATAGTCCTTATGTCCAGCCAGTTGGTTGGTGTCAGGAGAATGGAAGAACTCTGAGAGCACCCCAAGGTGAGAGGACTAAATGGGTGTTCTTTGAAGTCATTCTGTGGGAGTGGCAATGGCCATTCTTGTTTTCATTTCTGTAAACCACATTTCAATACACAGTGTATGATAAAAATACTGTGCAAAGTTTTATTGACCACCATGTGCCCCAAATGTCTGACATCTGCACATCCTTCCCCATAATGAAAATAGACTTGTTTATGAAGATGAATTGGGAAGACATTTAAAAACGTTGCTAAAAGTGCTTTATCCAACAAAATGAGTATCAATGCTGTGTATCAGCAATTTATTATTGTAAGAGTTTAAAACAATATATTCTGGATAGTACACTCATTGTATAAATGATTTGCAAATATATTCTTCCATTCTATTTCTGCGACACAATTTATCTTATAACTCATGTTAATTCATTAATTGAACCATAAAATTTTTAAATATACTTAACTTCAGAGTTGAATGTAAGAACTGTAGAGATTTAAGAAGTGAGAATTAACATGAGGCTCCAGACTTGCCAAGCCAACTTAATGACTCAGCTAAATACTAAGTAAGGACTCTTTCTGTGTATTATATTTTTTCTCATGACAGAAGTATTAATAAATACTATTTAGAGACTTGCTCTATCAAATCCATGTTTTTTAATTTAAAAATGAATCCGATATAGTGACTGTGTATATTAACATTTTTAAAACAATCATTCTAGGCCTAGGAGAAACCTATTTTCTTTCAATAAAAAAAGTAGAGAAAGAAATGTAAAGTAAGAAATATACAATTCTAGAATGGAGCAGATATTTACCGTTTAATGTGAATGATTCTTGAATTTTGCTGTTTTTTAAATCTTTTTTTCCCCCTTAAAGTATAGGAAAATATTAGAATTGCTCACAAATTTCTTGAATTCCATGGAAAAAGTTCAAGAATTAAAAACAGTCAACAGCCAAACAAAACAAAAAACCTCAACCTATTCAAAAATATTCAATTAGTCTTGTGAGGTTTTATAAAATATGTAGTATCTTCTCAAACTCTGATTTTGACACACAGACCAATTTAGAGTTATTTGTCCTATTTTTCTGTAAAACTGGTTAACACTAACTTTAGGTAATGTTCTTTAAGATGAGATGAAATGTTAGATCTCAGAATATGTGGTTTGAGTTGGTGTGCCTGAAGATACAGCACACACTCTTTTCCATTTTCCTCTGGTGAAATAACTTCTGTGCTGCTTACAGCTTCTCACTAACTTCATGAATAGACTCAGTGTTTAAGTCCATCACCCCTGGTTCTTGGTGCTATGTGAGTCTGGTAACTGTCTGTGCAGCACATTAAGAATTGGAGGTCCAGAATCCTTCCCTCATTAACACTCACAAAGGGTCAAGGGGAGCAAATCTCCCACACCTCAGCTGAGGCTGAAGCTTGAGGCCATAATTAGATGTGAATAGGAGACTATTTAGTTCATAAAGTCAATAAAGTAACAACAGAACTCAATCCAGGCTTGTAGTTTCACTGTAGAATGTATTGCTTATATAAATATTGTCACCATGTTAAAATCTGAGTGATAGTTTTTTTT